AAAAAAACATCTTAATATTCTAGCTCAACAAATTCCCTAACCTTGACCATTCCAGTTCCATTGTCAACAACAAGAGGTTGAATGTCCTCAGCGTCAGCCATCTTCTATGATCTGCACAAAATACAAACAAGGTTAAGTAGGACTATAATTAATAATCCTCAGAATGTGCCAGAATTAAAAGTTGTTTACGGGAATAAAGCGGGTTTGTAAATAACTCGAGAAACCCTGTTTGAGGCTTTTTCTACACAATTGTAATACCAATGCATAGAATTTAAGTTGCCAAAAACGCTAGTTCACCAGAACACAGTTTTTGCAATATACTTTCAAACAATTAAGAATCAAAACCATTGTGCTTCACTTCACATAACACCATGACTCAGCACCTACATGCAGGATTCTAAGAAAACCCCAGAAGCCTCAAAGATCAGCAATACGCGAAGCAGAACACAGCCACAAAACGCATAAAATTTATTAAAAAACCATTTAACACGTCAATCGGCGAATTGACAAATCATCGTCAATTGATCATCCAGCAATAGCCAAAAAGCGGCAAAAAATCAAATCAAATTCATGAGAGAAATCTTACTTCAAATCTAGTAAGAACCAAATCAACCCAAAACCAATTACAGCGACAGAATAGATCTCGATCAGCTAAAGCAAGTAAAGATCGGAAATTTTTCGATCCACAAAATAGAACAGAAAACCCAGCAAAGAATCACGGATCCAGGAACTGAACAACTCATTAAAAAAAAAGCAACTGTACAACCTGAATTCAAGGATAGCAAAACTCACCGAAAAAAATACAAGGAAGATCCAAACTCACCTTCCTAAACGGAACTCGAAATCACTGGTTCGCAGGTACGGGACGGTCGAGGAAGCAGCTCGGCGAAGAGGTAGCGGCAGCACCAGAGCATTGGGAGGAGGAGCATCAGATGAACTTTATATTCCATGAGCACTGAGCAGAGCGTTAAATGACATTGAAATGCGAGTGAAATGAAACGCAAATGCAGGTTGGAATGCTTTGGGCCATGACTCGGTGGTGTTTGGCTCGGAAGGAAAACAGATCCCGAGCTATCAGGAAAGGTCAAAAGTGGAATCGCGAAGGAAATGGCAAGGACTTGTTCTGGAATCCGAACAAGGCAGAGTAAAGAGCGGCGTGACATTTTCCGCGGAATGTGAATATTGGAATCCAAACAAGTTCCTTATCAGCCAAAAATGCCACGATAGCAAGTGCGGCTGTTGATGTGGGCCCCAGTGAGGGTGATCTGGACACCACTTCTTGAATGTTCTGCCCTTCTTTGAAGTCTGAACTCTGAAGTCTGAACCGTTCAAGGGTTCCGATAAGCTTGTCTTAATATATATTTTTTTCCCCACGTAATACTACAATTTTTTAAACTTTATTTATAATTGTAAATCTTATATTTAATTAATTTTATTTTAAAATTTAATAAATTTTTAATTTTTATTTATTTAATACATAAACTTTAATAAAAGCTGAAAAAAATAGTTCATGAAATAATAAATTAAGAATAAAATTGTAGGTGCAGTTATATAATAAATCTAGTAAAATGATTAATATTAAGAAAAAGCATTTTATTTTTTTCTGTCCTATAAATTGAACAGAAGAGTAATGTATTAAGTTATAAAAAATGTTTGTGGAATATGAAAATTGGCTTCCCATTAACAATCTCAAGAGCACATGAATTACTTATAATTAAGTATATAATTTTAAGTTAGCACAAACCACTTTGAAAGAGTATTACAAAGATATGCAACAAGCAAATTTCGATTATTTATATGAATTTTAATAATAATTTTTTTGAAATTTTTATATTTTGACCTAGTTTGCCCTTTTTTGTTGTTTGGTTGGCAAAACTGGGGAAAACCCCTGCCTAACTTTATTCAAACCAAACCTTCTCTGAAAAGAAATTGCCAATAGGTGCACTCTACAACTAAAACAAACACTCCCATCTCCTTGGCCACCTGACTTCAAGACTCTCTCTTATTTTTATCATAAGAAATGACTAATTTGATCATACCAATAAAAACAATTAAAAATATTAAATCTGTTATAAATTTTAAGTGATTTTTAATATTACTTTTATTGACTACATTAATTAAATTTCAAGATCATATTAATTTTTATACTCTTAGTACTCTTATTAAATATGGGTATATATTGAAAAAAATTAATACTCATTAAAACTATAACAATATCCTATAAAAAAATAAAATAAAATTTCAACCTTATAATAAGGATCAAAGGGAGTAGTTCTCTTCTTCACACCCAAGGTTCCCATCCTTTCCAGAAAGAGATTTTCCATCTCCCAAGTTGAAGAAGAGCCACAAATCCTCATCTAACAGAGGATGATATATCATTCACAAAATTTCCTTATTTTGTGTGTATAAATTTTTTTTTAATAACTTGGTCAAATTTTAAGTGATTATAATCCCTTACTTTGAATTATGTATGAGCCAGGTCAAAAAAATTATGCATAGATGACGCCTTGAATTTGACAATAAATGGAAGCAAGCCACTGAACTGAGGCCTCACATTTTATTAGTAAAATAATAAATAAATTAATAGCATTAAATTTATTTAAAAAACTGAAAATTCAAAAAGTTTATTGTCATATGCATTTTGCAGTATTCCAAAGTATATTACATGTTATCCTGATGTAAAGGGTTAAATCAAATGTTTGATTAGGCTTATGTTATGTAAAGAAAATACATTTAATTATATGCATATATAAAGAAAATACATTTTTTGGCATTATGCTTTTATTAAAAAAATTAGTAATATTAAAAATATGATTTAAATACAAAATAATGTGTAGTATTCTAAAATAACCAACAACAAATGTTAAAATTAATATGTTGTCAATTTAAAAAATCTAAATATTAAAATTACTGAATGAAAGTCTAAGAAAGTCTTGCTCAAAATTATTCCCGGTCCAGAACAGAAGTCTTGTTCAAGAATAAATAAAAATTGAAGGATTCTTGTTTTTTTGTTTTTGGGCCAACAAAATTTGAAGGTTTCATCAACCGGCTAAGTTAAGTATTTAACTTGGAAAAGTTTGACTATATTCCAAGGCAAGTGACGAATGAAATGGACAAGTGATAAAATGAAGATCAAGTTGAAATTAAATAAGCATCTCCACGTATGCCTCACATAGATATTTTGATGAATAACATATTTTATTATAATAAATCCACTCTTTTCCCCCTATATTTGGTTTCATGGAAAGTTTGTCATGATATGCAATAAGTTGATATATAAATTTATTCTGAAAGTTTTTACTTAGAAGTGTTGGGTAATCAAAAATTTTTTAGGATGCAAGTTCACTCAAAAAATGTAAAGCTGTAGCAATATTACTTCTTACTATTAAAAATATTAACCGTCCATGTCATTATTTTAACAATTCATATTAATTTTTTTTTGGTGACAAAAGATAAAAAAAAATATTCCTGCTATTTTAAATTTTCTGAATCAATTTGTATTATAACCCTTTATTAATAAAAGACTGAAATCCATTGCCATTGCCATTGCCAATCAGCAGCTTTTAGTCTCTTTCATTAATGTCCACTTCTTGACAGAAATAGATGGTGATCAAATTGTCAACCAAACTATATGAATAGAGAGCATAATTCAATATAATATAACCCACCATTCCTTATGTAAACCAATGGGGATTATCATAGCCCTTTATAAGCATTGTAATCACTTCTATACAATCTGATTAAAGTTTTATCTTCCTAGTCTCCTTATCTCAATATTAGTTAAGATCATGAATAATTCCGATAAAAAGTTATAACTTAGTTTGGTAAGGAATTTTTTCCTTTGTGTAAACCATGAGCAATTTCCCTTCTTTTTCCCGGAAGGGGGGTTTTCAATTAACTTTCTTGAGAGTGATTTTACATATTTCAAAATAAATATGTCCCGATTTACGTAAAAATATTTATTTTAGCATGTGCCAAACTCCATCTTCTTCTCATATGGAACTTGTTTTTGAAAAATCAGAGCAACAATCAACACTCAAAGTCAAACCAAGCTACGTATAAAATCGCCACTCAAAATTGCAACATCTTGACAAAAAATTGCAAAAAAAAATCATCTTAACAAAACGAGGAGGAGATCTGGAAACTCCATACTGATCTTAAATATAGGAGTGATGCCTAATTATATAGATTAAAAAAATTAAGTAAAAAGTTTCTTTAAAGTATCTCTTCTCATTATTTACATTAAATCCACCTCCATTAAACTCTGTTAATATATATGTGCTAGTTTGGAAAAAAAAAAAAACTAAAAATTTAGAAACAAAATGAATTCACATTTTACATTTTATATTTAGAATTAAAATAAATTTTCAATTAACTCTTGTGTTTGGGATATTATGTTTTTCAAAAGAAAACAACACCTTAAAATTCAGGGTAGAGGCCCCATGTCAGATGATACTCAAAAGCATCCATATATCACTAGAAACTAGAAAAGAAACAATATTGAAAAGATTTGACTTGGACAATCAGATGAAGGCATATGATATTAGCAGAGCAGGCACGAGAAAATTCTTATAGTGTGCTAGTAACCTGTTCCTCGCGTAGCAGAAGATGCAGAGATCTCTATTAACAAAGCAATTCACAAATGAAGATTGGAGAACTTGATTTTCTGATATGGAACTATCCCTCCGCCATTGAAAACTAGCATTAAGCAAGTCCTTGTGAATTCGAAGAATCAGTAAAGAAATCAGTCATATAGGCTTTTTGATAGAACATCATTAATGCCATTGCTGAAACTGCATCTAAATTAACTCCCATCGTTATAGCCAGTGATTCAACTTTACTTCTCCTCATGATGCACAGCTTCGTTCCTGCATTTCCAACTGACACGGAGAATAACAACTCTGCTTGAGAGTAAAAGTGTTCGAATGTTGTGTGAATTAGAGATTTGATCCTGGGAACGAAGAGAAATCGCGGTGCTTCCATGTAAAAATTTCATTAATTGCGATGAACGTGGATCGAACACGCGACCTGCAGATCTTCCGTCTGACGCTCTGCCACCTGAGCTACCCTCGCTTCGTGCTTGGAGGGCGTTTGACTATTACCAATATTGCTTCTTAAAAGTACTTTTCTATAAAATAAAACAAACTTCTTCTTCACATATCTAATATACTTATGAAATCTTATAATACCTATTAATGTTTAAATGGGTCGGGTTGTACATCCATATTTTATTTATTATCAAAATTTATTTCAATTTGATGCGTCTTTTTATCTCCTGTATCAGTTTCTCATATAATTATACTGGGTTATTAATAATAATTTAATCCATTCAACTTTACACATAGCAAAAGAAGAATATTTTGGAGCGGCGAGAAATGAGAATTTCTTGAAATAAGAGGAGCCATAGATACAATCCACATACATATGCCTTATTTTTTATTATTTTATTTTATAGAAGAAATGTTATATTTTTAAAAATACATAGAACGTTATAAATTTTCAAGAAAAACATATCATAATTATTTCAATAAGAAGTGGCTAAGAATACAAATAGAATAACATTCTAATTGAATCAAATATGTTACACCTTATAAAGATCTTTCACTTATTTCAAATCTAATCATGTGTCACATATCACCTTGTGTATCGCATGAGGAGAAATTTTTAATTTGTTTTGTAAATCGTAAAAGTATTTTTAAAATCATGGTTTAGTTTCCATCCAAACACCCTTTAATGTTTAATACTCCCTCCGTTCCTTATTATAAAAGACATTTGATGCTCATGGCATGTTCTTATATATAAGAGACACTTAAAAGTTATCTCTACTTTTTTGTGTTGATTTGCTATTTTACCCATATTTATTGTCTCCAACTCACACTCCCTCCCTCTCACTTCTCTTTCTTTCAATAATTTAATTGTTTTCTCTCATGCTCCCTCTCCTTATTAATGAGAGCATTTTTGAAAAAAAAATTATATTTTTTAGGCATTGATTGTTCTTAACTAATTTTAACTGTTTTTTTTATTAACGTAATTCGGTTATTCGTCTCTTATAATAAGGAACGGAGAGAGTATTATGGACCATGAAGCTGTTTTGTTCTTTTTCATGGAGACCCGATGGCACCAAATCTCAAATTCGGGTCGACCCGTGCCCAACCTGCTGACATCTACGTCGAGCTTGATCCGAAACTCGTGCTTGGCTGAACCAAAACATCGTCGCAGGCAGTGTGTGACCACTGCCACGCCAAGATCTGTTCGCTGTGATTCTAGTTGCAATGTACGCCTCAAAGTTTCCTTCTTTCTTTGTTTTTCTCGTCTGGATCAGATCTATTTTGGTTGTTGATTTGAACGCAATGCTTCTTGGAGAGTAGCGTTTTGCCTATCTAGGGTTTGCAATTCGCTGCAATTTTATCTTTTTTGTTTTGGACGTTCTGTTATGTTATCACAAGTTCAATAAATAGATGGTGATGCTGATTCGGGAACACGTTTTGCACTCCTCGCATAGGTTTCATTACTGCTTAATTAATGGAAAATTGATCTCATAGGAATTAAACACTGGAGTGCATATGTTGGGATTTTTCTTTGGCTGATCCGTGATTTTCTGATTTAGTTTAAGGAAGCTTCTTACTGTGTATTTCTTTGCAGTTGCTGAAATTGGGTTCTGGCTGTCATTTTGATGTATTTTTCCCCTTCCCTTGGTGGCCTAAAGTTTGTTAAATTTGTGCATTTATCCTTCTTAATATACTATTAATATTAATCTGATTTCTAAATTTGATTTGGCCAATGAATTGGATTCTGCTCCTCCATACTTAAAAATGATCCCTTATACCCTTGGGAAGCCACCATATTGTATTTGCATTCATCATATTTTCTCCTACACTCATACAGAAGGATTTAATACTACTGCAGAGGAAGCTTTAGATAAATTTCATTATATATTTGATGTCCAAGGTTTTATGGGTGCCGAATTCATGGTTTTCAGAATGTGTAAGTTTTGGATGGTGTCTCATGAACATTGCAACCACTTTTGAAATTTGTCTGCTCTCTGGCTCCCCCCCCCCCGGGGGGTTTTTAGATGACTTTTCTACTCGACATGCGGACTGATAATCTGTTTTATTGTAAATTTAGGGCTGACGAAGAACCTGTTGATCAGAAGAGATATTATGAGGACTCTTGCAAACCGAAGTGTGTGAAACCATTAATTGAATATCAGGTTAGCGTTTTGAATTACATTTCTTTGATCATATGTTTGTTTAATTGAGGTTGAGGACTTGAGTAAAAAATGATTTGCTTTTGCTTCTTACTGAATAACTGTTATTTGATTTTACAATTATTTTTTAATTAATTTTCTTGTGCTAAATGTCAAAGTGGCCAAATTGCTAAGTGCATCTATCAAAGCAAAATCTTATTGCACGCTTATGATACATAATGATATTATTCATTGACCTTTACTTAGATAGACAAGAGTCCCAACTCACCATTCAAATAATACAAAGAAAGGATGTTTATATTGTCTGTAGAATACAAGAGAAGAAAAAACCCATCCAAAGAAATGAAATTATTGCAACTCTTGCTAGAGTATGGAACAACACACATATTGATATAATAGTTGAATAGATGCCGTGAGTTGTGATGATGAAGAACGTAATTTGGGAGTTAAAAGCTGTTGTTGTTTATTCTCCATTCCACCTTCAGGAACAAGGATCATCTTGAAGTCCCCGCGCGACATTGTTAATCCTTCATTCTTCCTTATCTTCTATTTATTCAAATGTAATTGTTACTTTGCTGTAAAGTAATCCGACTTAGCAAGGTTGGTCTGCATGGTGAAACATGATGGGCAGTTGAACCATTGGGTTCAGGGTTCGAATGCTAGCACCATCATATTGATGATTGCTGTAAAGTTAACCTCCTTCTACTTGCTACAGGCATGCGTTAAAAGAATCGGAGGTGATGATTCCGGGCACAAACACTGCACCGGGCAATATTTTGATTATTGGTCATGTGTTGACAAATGTGTACGTATTACTTTATAATTCTATTATCAAACTTTTCGCTGTATGCTTCTACATATTCTGTACTAAACTTTAATCATACAATGCAGGCTGCACCAAAGCTATTCTCCAAACTGAAGTAACGGGAGAGACTTTAGTGTATCACCAGCTTCTCAGATTTTTCATTTTCAAATAACTACTCGTAGACACTTGATTTTGGACTCAAAAACCATACGCCTGCATGTATGGGCTTTTGCTGTGGTTGCTACGAAATTTTTAAAACAGGGTAACCTTAGATATTGATTAATAAAATCCTGTGAAATTGTATCTCTTGGAAAGTTTTGACTTTGGAAGGTTGGATCCAATATTGAGTTTTTGGTGTTGATGATTCTGACCTTTTGAATAAGTGGGTTTGTTGTAATATCTGAATTGTGCGTCACAGCTGCTCTACATATGCCAAGATACTCAGATTTTGTCTGTTTTTCATCGTGCACACATGTATTCAGAGTCATCTCTCTAAAACTTGAAGAATATCATATGGCCAATGTTCTGCTGATAAATGCAAGTTTTCTTTCAAATTTAGCATTACACAAGGATTATACACTTAAATTTTGCAAGGATCATGTAACAACTGAGGAAAATGAAACACTTGCATCAGAAGTCCATGTCTGATTTTTACTGACAAAATGCTGACTGACTACCGAAGGGACGACAACAAAGTGCGCGCTGCACACACAACACCCAGACTGCAACAGGAGCCATCAGTAACTCTAGGCCTCCAAGTCCAATTGTGTAATAGTAGAGGAGGAAGCCGAACCACCTTGATTTCTAGACCTCCAAGTTCAATTTGGTGTTAAATACTCCTCCGGTTCTAAATATAAAACTTTTTTTGTAATGTAATTTACACTACAAAAGGGGTCTTATATTTAGGACCGGAGGACTATGAAATTTCAATATATTTTATCCCTCATATTTATCTACTTTTTTCAATGTAATCATTATAGTAGTTACATATGTTAAAAATTTTATCAAATAGTAGTTGTAGATAACACACATGATTAATAAGGGTATTTTAAAAAAACAATATTTTTTTATTATAAATAATTAACTTAATAAATTTTCTTAATTTACTCAAATTAGTCAACTAGTTCTTATATTAAAAACCGGAAGTGGTAGTTGTTAGAGAGGGTTCAAAGAAAACAACCCTTTTTCATCGGTGATGCTGCAACCCAATCTGTAGTTTTGTTAACTTCTCTGTGAAACTAGAAAACAAGAAACTTGCCTAAAGATCCTACAAGGTTCAACACGTGCAGCATTAAGCTGCCACAAAACCACTCACCACTTAAGACATTAATTCAGAAATGAGCTTACAATCTGTCTCAACAATAAATGAATCCTGAAGCAAATTCGTGGTCATCAATACGGCGTGCCCAAGAGACCCATTCAGACATCTGCAATTCACTGATACAGCAAAACCTTAAACCAGAATGCCAGTTCCTTTTCTTGTCATTTCCTTCAATTATAAGAACCATTCACAATCTAATTTCAATTGAGACATAATAACGGTTCCCATACCAAATTGATACACTGAGGTCTAGCACAAGGGCATTCCAAATTCCACTGCTTCACCAATAATTCTAACAGCATCAATCCCTGTATCCTGATATGAATCCTCATATTCAACATATCGGGCAAAGAGGAGTAGAGGACCAATCACTATATTTCCTTTTGTTGAGACCGTCTCTAGGGTCAAGGCATTATTCAAAGTCCGCCACACAAAAAAAACAAAAAAGAAAAAAAGAAAAATAAATATCTTAATAATATTTCGAGTTTCAAGTGTGCCCTAATAGATAAGTCATTGTGAGTTAATTTATCTAAACTTTTTTTTTTTTAAAAAAAAGGATGTACACGGTTTTTATCAATAAAAGGTAGTATTTATTCTGGCTAAAATCTCTTTTTAATTTTATTCTTTATGCCGTCACTTTATCTTATTCTTTTATTCTTTATGATGCTTGATTGATTCTTTCATTCTTCTTGTGATTCTGTTCATTCCTTGATTTTTGAATCAAACTTGATGGAATCCCACTCGCGTTCGAGGGCGTGACCGTAAACGTTCAATGGCTTCTGAATTGTGTACATGGAAATAAAACCCTAATAACAGATTTTAATCCTTCGGATGAGCCTGTGCCCAGCCTTCGCTGACGATTCGTCTCTCCCATCGTCAGATTAGACCTCACCGATGATCGATGTCATCGGAACTTCCTCGACGATGAAGCTGCTTCAACCGGAGAAACGAATAGAGCAACACCGACAAAGTCCCATCAAGGTCCCGGACAATCTCAAGTTTCGTGGCTCGGAATCTCAAGGCCGTGAAGAACCTGAAAACCCATTACAATCGCAGAAGAAAACTAGGGATTTGCCCAATTTGAACAAATGCCATGCGTGTGGCTTCATAGTTGACGTTTGCGCTGGTAAGAAGAGACTCCACATCCTTAATAGCGAGTGGCGCATAGTTCTTCTCTGCAAAAATTGTCTTTCATCCATTAAATCTTCAAGAATGTGCTCGTATTGTTTTTCCGAATCGTCTGCGGATTGTTTTTGTTGTGAGCAATGTAAGCATTCTGTTCATAAAAAGTGCTTTTCCAAGTATAAAGACACTGCTCCATGGTCTTATGCTTGTTCTGGGTCGGAATTTTCTGTTTGTGTGGATTGTTGGGTTCCCAAATCAGTGGTTCTTTCAAGAAAAAGAATGAAGACTGGGAAGGTTAAGAAAAAGGATAGGATTGTATTGGAAAAGGATGCTTCTAGGTTTTCGGATGATGGAAATTCTGCGGTTTCATTAGAGGATGTGGTTAAGGATGCAAATCTTGTGGTAGACGAGAAGGTTGAGGTTGCTGCTAGGGCTAGAGACGAGGCTGTTAAGAAGGCTGTGGTTGCTAGAAGAGCAGTCGAGGCTGCAAATAGTGCTTTAAGTTTAGTAGCAAGCGGAGATGAGAACAGTTTAAACGAGCGCCTCAAAATGGGTGCTGATAAGGTTGTTGAGTGGTATCCGCCCGTAAGTAGCTCTCCGTCTAGTTGCTGCTTATTCAATTCAAGTTACTTAGATACTCCAAAGGTGGGGACTTCTAGTTCTGATTCACCTTGCATGAGGCCTAACCCAAGCAATTCAAGTGATTTTTTGAAGCATGAAGTTTCCAGTGATAATAACATGCACAAGGACTCCCATAAATATGTAATGAAACCCTCAGTTTGTATGGATGGGAGTGACAAGAGAACCAGTTCGAAAGAAGGAAAGTGCATGGCTGATTGTGATTCAAAAGAAGAGATTGGAGAAGAGTTGATGAAGGAAGGGGAGGGAAGTTGTTCCGATAGGCAGATAAGTGGATATAACATATTGAATCTTGATCGCAAGCAGACAGAGACTGCGTTGCCCGGGGAAGAAAGATGCAATGGACAGCCTGACCGCTATTTCTTGAAATATAGAAGGAGAGTTTGTAGGTTAAAACCAATTCCAGATAGTAAACCAAAAATCCTCCTCAGTAACAATGACACTAATCTTGAGAGTCAGGGCTCAGCTACTGAGGTTCCATTGAATTGTTCTTGGGAATTGAGAACGTTATCTAATGGTTAATTCCAGTCATTTCATACTCCTTTGCAAGCATCTGCTTATGAAGTGGATATTCCAAGATCCATCTTGAAAGGGCACAGGTACAGAAAGTTTATCTTTTGCTACTTATTGTTGTGAGTTTATGGCCTTGCTCTTTTTCTTAACAAATTGTGTTTGTTATTATTCTGTTTCCTTATTGACATTCTAACATGTTACGTTCATTTTGGTACTTTTGCTGCTCGTATATTTTCTGTCATCATGCCAAAGCTTGAGTCTTTCTATTTTGACAACTGGAAAATGTGGTATTGTCACAGGATTCCTCAGATTTGATATTTCTTTCTACTGCTGGCTATTTGTTGGTATTTTTGTATTATATCTTGCTTGAAAATTTCTTTAGCCTCTTCCTGGATATGCCAGAGATTGTTTACAATAGGCACCATATAACAAAGCAAATGTTGAAAGAATGTGATTGGGTCTGTGAGCTAACTTGTTTGACTTGCTGAACGATGTAGGTTAGGATGAACAAAATTGTATAGTGTTTACATGGGGGCAAAAAAACTGTTTACGTGAGGGCCTTTTTGCCACTCTCTGGTTTGGCCCTCTGGTTGGCGCTGGCTGGCTGTACTATTGCGGGCTATTCTGCAAGATGCTAATTTTAACATGCAAATTTATGCCTGATTTGTTATTCTTGTGTTGTTATTTTGCTCTGGATGTATAACCTATTACATTATAAATGTCACGTTATTAAAATCACTGATAGCATGTAACAGAACTCTGGCACTACATAATTAGATCGAATGAGTTGGGGATCGTAGGAAATGTTTTATATAGCTTTGACAACCTTGTATAAAAATTATAATTCTTCTAGTTATTATCGTTTATTCTTTTATTTTGCTAATAATTAAAGACTAATGCTGATTCATCCTTTTTATGCTTGCCTCCTTTTTTACGTAGCTGACTGGAATGCCATCTAACGTGTTAACATCAAAATGGGCTACAAAAGTCTACCCTACTGGAGCAGAAGACTTACCACTGGCCTTGTTTTTTTAAGTGTTCAAAAAAACCTGGGGTGATTAGCATTGATTTCTTGCAGTTCCAATCACCATACCAGGTTGGGTTTCATGAAAGTTGACAAGTTACTGATATAGTAGGTAAAGCAGATAGCCTTCCACGTGGGAGATGCTTGTTCTTTTTCAAGATGTAATTTTGGTCTTTGTAAAAAGTTGGAATCCCCTTTGCCCCCTTTTTGTTTGTCTTCCTTTCAGTTTGAGGCTTTCTGTAATCTTTTACATTCTTTTGTACAACGTCCTCACGTGTGAGTCATTCTGTATAGTTACTTAGTTACGGTTCTGCAATTCCACTTATGTTCAATAGCTGCTTGAATTATGCTAGCTCTGTATCATGAGTTGAATGTTTCTTACTTTAAATGATGAATCAATTGATCAGTTTACTTATACTGAAAATAAGATCTGACAGTAGGCAAGTGAAAATTTACTCGATATGCTGGCAAAGCGAAGCTCAAAATCCGATCAGTTTGTGTAGACAAAAAGTAGAATTGTTATTGTTCGATAGAGCTTTTGTTTTACGGAAAGCGTATCATAATTTTGTTTCCTCAGATGGTTTTGTGATATGGGGTGTTTTTTTGTTGGTTACCTGATAATGTGGAAACGAGGCATGAAAATTTGTTCAGGCCAGAAATTCAAAGAACGATGCCAAACCAATCAAACAGAGGATGTTAAGGTACAAGTTCATTGCTTGTTACTCCTCTGATCCTATTTATAATACAAAGAGGGAAAACATTTTTTCGTCCTATTTATAGGACATTGAGAGTTTTTTTATATGTATGTATAATTTTACTTTTTATTTATTATTGTGTTAG